GTGATAGGTCGGAAATTTATTTACCGACGTAATGCACATAGGAACAAGACAGCTTTTAGCAGGAGAACCAAAAACGCAAAAATTTCATATTCACACCTCAAGTTACCGACAAGATCCTTGTTGGTAAGGGAAAATGCAAAAATTTTCAATTCCAATGCCTTTTCACCGACAAAATCCATGTCGGTAGAATTTTACCAGAATTTTACCATTAATTGCAATAATTTCCCCAGAAAATTATTGAAAATTACCAGAAATTTCTTAATAAATATTCATAAAATTGACCGAAAATAACAAATCAGACAATGCTAATATCAAATGAAATTATCACAATGCATTATAGTCTAAACTACAAAAAAAATACAAAATATGTATAAATCATTTAGATTTAACATAAAACAGATAAAAAATAGCAATACTACCCAAATCTCACTTACCACAACTTGATCTACTAACTGTGAGGAAATAAAACTTCAAACTTTCACGACTTGGCTCGCTGGAAAAAATGAAGGGAAATGAAGTCGGGAGGAAAATGAAAATGAGAGGGAAAGGCAGGGTTCAGCGGGGAAATGGATGCAGGACACCTCTTACCGAAGAGCTTAACGGTGCCAACTGGAAAGCTGATCAGCTTCTGCATTTTGCTGCAGCAGCGCCATCACCGATAAGGATCAGGTTGCAGAACCTTAGCTGACCGACGGCAAGTTTGTCGGTAAAGACAAAAGCTGATCACCACTCTAACTGCAGCAGGCCATACTATTTACCAAGGAGATGCCAGCCATTGTTGTTTACCTTTAGAACATCTCTTACAATAAAAAGAAAAACATAGCCCAAACATCCCAAAATTTTGAAATCTTAGTCTCTTTTTTATTTAATAAAAAAAAAAAAAAGAAAGGAAAAGAAAAGAAATTCAATAAAATAGGAATACGTCTGCTGGAGAAGTTGCTGAGAAAGATGAAAGATGGTAGGTGGAGGGACCCAGATGAATCGGAGAATAGATATGTGGAACATTAACATGAACTCGATTTTTTTATTAAAAAAAAATTGGAAGTACGAGGAAACTAAGCTAACGTCATATGCCTTTGTTCATCACCATTCTAACTGCAGCAGGCCATACTATTTACCGAGGAGATGCTAGCCGCCTATTCGTCAGTTTACTGATGCGAATCTCGTCGGTAAGTATAAAAGTCGGATCACTGGTGCTTTTTTCTTCAGGTTTTCCGATCAGTTGACTAGTATCGACGACCCAGCAGCGTACCGACGAGCTTCCCGTTTCTGTAGGAGTCATTTACCGGCCAACCTTTCATCTGAACTTTATTTAATGTAAATAAATGTTAGTGTTATTGTTTTACCACGTACAGACATATTCCGACTCGGTAAATGGCACATTAACCGACTAAATTTCCCACGTCAGTGATACTTTGATTGGTAATACAAAGTTTCCTAATAGTGATCTTTATTTATTATTATATATCATTTTTACCCCATTCTCTTTTTGTTTCTCTCTCCTCTCTTGTTATGTATATATTAGAATTGTTTAACTTAGTTTCAATGAATATATTCAAATTCTCAAAGGCTCTTACTTTACCATTTTTTATAATTTTTTTATATGTAGTTTAGATTTTTGATAAAGAGAATGTCAAAATATTTTTGAGTTTTTCACAGTCTCTTTCATTATTTTTGGGTTCCTTGTAAATATTACTTGTAAGTGTTATCTACACTCCAATCAATTGTATGTTACAATTTGTATTCATTTATAATTCTTGATATTTTTGTAATCATTATTGAGAAATATGTTTATCAAAAATTATTTATATTTTAATCATTACTCCCTTAGTTCAAGAATAATGGAGCAAATAATAATCAATTTGCGAAATCTACGTTGAACATAATATAATCTATATATGCAAAATACATTATATAATTAAACTAAAAATCGGATTATATATTTAGATAAGCTGTTTCAACTTTAATAATATGTAGATGCAAAAGTTATATTATTATATAGTAATTGAAGTGAAATTTTAAAATAGTTGGTGAGAAATTTGACGTAGTTAAAGTATTATTAAATATTATTATAAAAAAGTAAAATATAATTGAATTTGAATTTAAAGTATTCTATTTATATAATTAAAGTTGTTGAATTAATTTGAAATTGAAATATGAAGGGAAGTTATTGGATTTATTGTTTGCCGAATTAATTTGTGAAATCAAAACAAGGTTTTGATAATTAAAATTATAATTAAATTTATAATTATTTATTAAAGGTTATTTATTTGTTATTTTAGAAGAATTTTAAAAGGTTTATTCAGTATTTATTTAATATTTTAAAAGGATCATTGGCTATTTATTCAATATTTATTGAAGATTTTAAAAGGTCTATTGAGTGTTTATCGTGGATTTACTGAAGTTTTTTAATAATTTTTATGATATAATAAAATATAATTGAGTTTGGATTTTAAAAAGTAATTGGGTTGGGTATTTATTTAATATTTTAAAATGCTCATTGTGTATTTATTTAGTATTTATTAAATATTTTAAAAGGACTATTAAATATTTATTCAAGATTTATTGAATATTTTAACAATTTTTATAATATAATAAAATAAGACAATTAGTAAAGCTTGAATCCAAATTTATTTAGAGGTTAAATTGAAGTCATAATTAGTAAATCATGAAAGTCCAAATTAAATTGGAATTTGAATTAATGTGTAGAAGTTAAATTAAAATATGCTAAAATACTATTTATATTGAAATATTAGATTGTTTTTACAACCCTAATTGTTAATCCCACAGCTTTTACATTTAATTGACCATTATCCCTGTCATAACCCAATTTTTACTGAGGGGCTAAATGCTAAAGTCAGAAGTCAATGGACTGTTTTTGTAAAGTTGGAAACTTGAAGGGGTTAAGATCTCTCTCTACCGCACCCCTTCTCTCATCAACTCCAGCATGATGCCAAGAAGATTTTCTTTGAAGATAAGCTCAACCAATTGAAGGATTTGGATAAAGATGGACAAAC